TCATAAAATTAGTAGTTTTAATACCGAAAGAATAATCTTTAGGCTTGAAACTATATTGGTTTTTATTAGAGAATTACTTCACTATCATTTAATCCTTAATAGTTGATAAGTACTAATTAAAGCATAATGTACATTAATAGTCAGGCATATCATGAATTAGCTTGCTTGATCTAGATATTTCCTTGCCGATGAGTAAAAATATAAAGATTTTTTAAATATAGTCTACTTATACCAACTTGGTGCTGATCATTTATTACAAAAGCTCGCAATTGTGATAGACTGATTTTTAAAATATAATTTTTATCTTGATTATAGTACAATAAAGGCATCGGATTACTGACCAATTGTATTAACTTGGAGATAAATCGACCAACAAAATTGGATATAGCAAATAACAAAAAGCATGCCACTGGTACGAATAAGACACCTAACATAGAATAATTAAATAACAAGGCTTTGCGATGACTCTTTAATTTGAATAGCATTAGCCATTATAAATAAACTTTGTTTTAACATCTCAATTGATTAGTGTAAACTTAAAATTAGGAATTGTACATGATCTTGATTTTTTATTATTAGACTATTTTTGCAACAATACCTGTTAACATACTGTTATTTCTCTTATGAACTGAAATAACGCGGCATGTGATACCAGGAAAAATGGAATACGTAACACTAAAGCACAAAAACTGAGCACAAACTACAGGCCATATCTAAAAGTAAGCCATGGATAGATTGTATCAGTCAATAACCTTTAAAAAGTAACTCAAATACTAATTAATCCTCTCATCGCACTGAACTACCGTACCTTTGTGAAAGCGTACTTGAGACGCTCCTTTCTGTTATTTTCAAATGGAACATGCTCGTATTCGTCATCAGAATCATTAGAAGCTTGATTATCCTCATCTATAGCTTTTTTCTGCTGAATAGCTGTTTAAAATAAGATCATTTGATTATAAATATTATTTATTATAATGTCATCTAGTCTTTGAAATGATGATTACGTAATAAATCATAAGTACTGATTTAAATATTCTAATCATATTTATATTATCTAGTAAAGTCCTAACCATATTCTAAATTAGCTTCCATGTAATATCTTGCAAATGCCTACAATAAATTGAATTTAATTAACTCAATACCTTCAATATTAAACGTTGCACTAAATTGGGACTTAGCATTAACGTCTTGGAGAAATCGTAAATAATATAAATTTATGCATTCATTAGATAAGGTATCTAAAACTGACATTTTTTTCCAGTAAGTGCTGAATGATTAAGCATAGGACCAGTAATGCAATTCCACTGATAAAATAGGCAATTCCGCTACGGTTGGAAGACCTTATTGCTGTAGGAAGATTAGAAAAATTTATAGCTATCGTTAGGGGTGGAAATGATAGATTAAGTAATTTAAAGAGCTATTTATGGCACGGATAGTAGTGGAAAACTAGAATTAAATGCCTTTTTAACAAAATCGCTACATTATTGGTAATATGATAAACTGATTGCACTTCTAAGGATTATTATGGCTTATGTATCTCAGTTCGTTCGAATTTATTACACATTTTATACAAATGAATCTATAACACATCCTTAGCTTAATTGAAATTAAGCAATTTAACCATACACAGACATGACGTAAGATAATTTAGATTCAGTAAGATATTTGAGACGAGACGTTTCTTTGTCTGAGTTATTTAAAGGAAGGGATACTGTGAAATTGAGAAAATGTTGGATAAAAAGATATAAGTTAGAAATAAAGTGAGCTTTCGTTGTGAATTTTGGTATAATACGAAGTATGCTTCCGTAAAACTACAACCCAATTCATAAGAGAGCTAGTATTCAAGGTAGCCCTTTCATGCATGACTTGAATAGTTACAATAACTTGCTTAGCCAATGATGGGCAGTGGACGTACAAAACGCAAAACTTAATTTAACCAAAATGATAAGATCTAATAATATTAGGTAAATTTGTATTTGATAGCTTACATGATTCTGGCTATAACATAAATCGAACTGATAATGTGCTCGTAAGTACGTACAATATCCTGAAAATAGCCTTTCGTATTATGCGCACATCAATTTTTTACAGAAAACAAATTGCACGCATCGGAAAATAAAAAATTATTAAATTGAAAAATATTCTTAATGTAGCAAAATTTTACTGATCAAGTTCACCATTGAATAAATGTCGTTGTTTTACTGTGCGATGTAAGAAATCCATGATTTTGTGTCTATCATGCGAGATCTCAGCTATGCAGTTGTATAAATAATATCGTAATAGCTTAAAATACGTACATAACACAGTTCAAATCTGTTAATTGCTGGATTTCATATATTTTATGGATCTAGCCGACTATTCTTACCAATTAATGATATGATGTTGGCTAATGCAGTAAAGATTCCGGAAATGCCCTGCGCAGGAGTTTCCATGGATATTCGAAATACATACCAAAAGATTACAGATAGAATCGAAAAAGTATTAGATTGTCATTGAAGGCTAGCTTGAGGC